AATACTTGGTAATGGTAATGGGTTTTGGTGAAAGTATTTAACATGTTTGGTAGTATGGTGGAATGGGAATGGTTACTAATAGTAGTGCTTGAAAATTAATAAGGGAATGAAACCCTTATTCTATTTGGGTATGAGTTTTTCAATTGATGGGGTATTCGAAACCCATAATGGTGTTCTAAAAACCTATCAACCAAACAACAACAATTACTTTCATACCCATTCATATGGGCAAAACCCATCAACCAAACACACCCTTAATACAGGATTTTTCAATGGAGCATGAGTATTTATATTTTTATTCTTTTTCTTTCAATACAATAATATAAAATACAATGTATTATAACTGTTACAATAACTAAAGGGGTGTATTCCATTATTGAATATCAATTAAGAAAGTACCATGTAGTTGGCCAGAACTGGCGGCTTTTATTTCCCAATTAATAATGTTTTTACTCCGTCTAGGCATTAATCTCTACGAAACTAGCAATTTCTTTAGCAATTTAATTATGAATAATTGTATTTATACATTTTAATATTTATATAATATACTATTCAAATTAACTATATTTTATTTCAAAATGGCTTATTAGTAAAAAGTAATTTATATTTTTGTAATAATTATATTTAAATTTGACAATTTTACATATGATGATTTATGACAATCATATCTAATTATCCTATCTAATATTAGCTATTAATTGGCATATGAATATTTTAAATTATAATTAATATTTATGAATATTAAGAAAAACTATTTTCAAATATTTTTTATATTTACAAATTTCTCCACACTATATATATATATATATATATATATATATATATATATATATAATTTCCCGTTTCAATTCCCATCGTTGTACTACCTAGGCAAAATATTATTGAATGAAATTAAAAAAAAAATGTAAAGTCAGTTCATCTAATGTACACTATTAGATATTAACTGTGAATTTCCCTCATTACTTAAAAAATGTAGAGCCAAAGTGCTGAAATTAAACATTTTGATAATTTACTCTTCTGTAATAATTTCACTGATAATTGATTAAAAATTTATAAAATTATTAAAATGTACAACTAATATTAGTTCACGATTGACTTTCCTGTGAAACCGGTTCACATATCCTTATATGTGAGACCGATTAGGTCAAAATAGAAATATAATACTTATACTAAAAAATGTTATACTAATCAAGAATAAAATGTTTGTTACGTAAAAAGGAATAAATATGTTATACTAATCAAGAATAAAATGTTTGTTACGTAAAAAGGAATAAATATGTTATACTAATCAAGAATAAAATGTTTGTTACGTAAAAAGGAATAAATATCCAAATGGTCCATCGAATATTCCATAATTCACAAATCAATCATTATAATGTAGTATCTATTCATAGCTACTTTCTCAACCTACTAAAAGGATAAAGAGCCAATAATGCCTCTTCTAAAGCTTGAACTCACAACCACCCATATGGGAGTCCAACTCGGGTGCCATCTGAGCACAAAGTGCTTAGTGATCTTATTGAGTAGGAATTTAATTATTGAGAACTTAATTTGCTAAACTTGATAGTCGAGTACTTATTTGTGAATTATGCTATAGTCGAGGGACCATTTTGAATATTTACTCTTTAAAAAGAAAAGTGTAGTATTTAAAAAAATGTAATATACTTTTAAATAATAAAAAAATAAAAAATTTACATTTTTCATCAAATTATTACACTTTCCCTTATAAGTAACAAACATTTTATTTTAATTAGTATTACATTTTACCGTACAAATATTACGAAATACATTTTTTAATATAAATATAATATTTTTACTTTGACTCGACCCGTGTAAGTGTCTAAAGAAATATTTTTTACCTTCGAGCATGAATATTAGTGGATCTTTGAGAGTTTTTGGAACAATGAAGTATGATTTGGAGGAGAGAGAAAAGGATTTGGACCATATGCAAATGAAGAGTTATTGGAACACTAACTGCACACACATTTATCAAGAAAGAAACAAGGTTGTGTGCGTTTCGCGCACAGTAAAGACAAAGCTGGGCGCGCCTGACAGCCTAATTTTTTTTTTTTTTTTAAATCAGTTTTGTTTTTTTTTTTTTCCTCACATCTCATATTCTCTTTCCTAATCACACTTATAAAAATTTCTCAAAAACCACAAAAAACTCCACAATTGTGGATGCTCTTAGAGCTTAGTACCAGCGGTTCTTTATGAGTTTTTGGAACAATGTTGGGGATCATAACTGATGGGAGGCATGAGTTCAAAGCAAAATACTTCTCCTGCAACTTCCAAGTTTATGGCAGAGAAAAAAAAAAACGCTTTGGATGCGCGTTAGGTCGCACCCATTGTGAGCGCGGGTGCCACACGCGCCCGCTGGGGCGCGTCAGAGTGGCCGCCAGTTGGAGGCCACTCTAACTCTTTTACCACTTTTTACTATTTTTTTTAAATGTCAGAATTTGTTTTAGTTTTTCTTTTTCTTTTTCACCCACATTTTTATCTCTTTCCTAATCATACTTACAAAAACCTCCCAAAATCGCAACGGAGATAAACTACTAAGAGCATCACCATCAGTAAATAATGTAGAGTTTTTGAAACAGTAGTGGGTGAGGTGGTGGAGAGTGAGAAGATTGAAAACCCTCTACAAGAGGTGACTTTTGAAACAGTATAAATGTCAAAAGAAAAAGCCTGGTTGTGTACGTTTCGTGCATAACAAAGGGCCACACAGACACGTCAGAGCTAACAGTGAATTTTAATATATATATATATATATATATATATATATATATATATATATATATATATATAGGGTTGCATTCACATGCAAACCCCCTTAAAATACAAACTTGAGGACAATATGTAGCCATAGGATCTGCTTAGATGGATGGATAAGATGCAATGGGAGGAATTGAATACAGAATCCTTTTTACGGTAAATAAGGGCAGATTTGGGAATGAGTATACTACTTAAAAAAGGAATAAAAATTATTAATATATTAAGCAATATTTAAGAGGTTTAAATATGGTAGGAGTTGAATGCATGAATAACAACGCCTCCCCAAACAAAACAACACCGCAGAATTTTTTTTTACGCCGTGCAATTATCGAAGACACCATGGACAGAGACCCCATGGACGACATAAACCAAGGGAATTATGATGGCAACCCAGACTCAACGGACGGTGCAAACGCAATAATTAATTACACCATAATTATGAATGATGTTCAATTTGTATGTGTTAAATTTGTTTTTTGGGGGTGAAACGTAATGCATATCACACAAGGGTGGGTACTGGTAGCTGAGGTTTATGAAAATGGAGAGTACAAAGCCGCATGATAGGGTATGGGGAGGGCGGTGGGAACATTATAAACAACATGTGAACACAGAGTTCATAGGGTGTGTATCCACGTTTATCTAAGCGTAGGAACACCAAATGACAGTATGAAATCAAAAACATTGCGATGGTGGTCCTAGATTCGTCATGAGACATGTATACTAACATACTCTACTTAAATCTGGAAACCCTATGGAATTTTAAGTAAAATGACGCTGCATTCTCCACACAAGCGTGCCTCGTGCACACGACTATAGGTTGAAGTGCACACATACAGACCAAGATGCCGCATAATAGTTTTGTAGGAAATTTGAGCAATCTTTTTATTTATACTGTTTGCAATACAAATGCTGATGCAAGAGGCTTATTGAGCACTAATGGTATCACAATAATACTGTTCATTTACAGGCGGAGACCATATCGGAGAAGGAACCACGGATTGCGACGTGGTCGTATTACCAGATGGAACGAAAAAGTAGTTCCCTATTTGCAAAGACGAAAGCACACCATATGCCAGGCAAGAATTTCAAACATTATAAGAAGGAATAGAATTCTAGCGTGCATACGCAACCATTAGAAGTAGGAATTACAAACAATAGAAGTAGGAAATTTTGTAGGAAGTGCGCTACCTGTGACCGACCAGGGCATGATAACAGGAATTTTCTTGACAAAAAAGAACTATCCGAGTAATAGAACCGCAAGCTTCTTAGTAGAATGGTTGCTAAATTTAATTGAACTTGCATTCGATACAGAATAAACATACGAAATTTTCAAAATTGTGATTTTTATTTCGCTTTGTGTGCTCATGACTGACCAGCAACATGCAAACACATAGCTCAAAATTGGAACGAAACTAGCCACTTCTAATTATTTTGGGTATTACTATAACTAATTTCATTAATATTGTTAGTATTACAGTACTAATTATTATAACTAATCGTGGGCAACGGCGAACTGGTATAGTATATAATAAGTTAGGATCACACGCACATATACTAAGGTGCACACATACAGGACTAATCCATATGAATATGAGTACAAAAATGTGATGTTATTTAACCGACCATGCAAACGTATACACAAAAAAATGTGTCCATGACTTCCGTGATTCATGTACCATTTAGAATAATTACAATTTTACTACAATGAGGAACAGAGTTATTAAGTTTGCACGGACACAAAAACTAGAGTGCACACATATTATCATCTGTGTGCACACACGCATACAGTAGTGTGCACACACGCATACAGTAGCGTGCACCCGCGCACGTCAAACTGCTCCAACTATGAGTATGGATCCTGAAATGCATTTGGTTGCACCGCTCACATAGTCCAACACCAATATGCACAATTAAATATGGACGAATGCACACATGGCAATACCAATACGCACGCGAGCACCAAACGAATTACGACCCACAACTAAATAAAGCCCAAAAATGGTGCAATAATTAATAAGTAGGGATCACACACTCATATACTAGGGTGCACACACGCAGGTCTAATTCGTATGAATATGAGTTCATAAAGTGGAAGGAATTTAGCAACTGTGTGCACACCAACAAAGGGACTAGAGTGCACACATACTAACCAGTATGTGCACACATACTAAAATCACAAACCTCTTTCAGCTGCAATCACACGTCAAACGCAAAGCACACCATGAACATTGTATAACAAAATACATTTGGATAACAAATACACAAAAATGTGTGCCTGGATGTGTTTTTTACGCCTGGTGTGCACCGAGAGGTGGACCAGCAAAAAAAAAAACAAACCAAACAAAGTGGGAGAAACTGACTACTATCAGCAAAAAACGGAAGCTAGATAAATATCCCCCGAGTTGACTCTAAAACGACTATAGTGTTCACAAAAATAAAAAAGAAAAGCTTTTGTAGAAGGCACGGTGAAACCTCCTCAACATCGAACTCCAAGCAAAGCACCAAAACCAAGATCACAAATGTCAGCCTTTTGCAGATTACTCAAATCCTTCAACGTGTTTACCACTATGACAGTCTGTGCCCTCATCTTCGCCCGAGGATACATAGCATCCTCCTCCCCGAATAGTTCATAATCAGGGGCATCCCACAGAGGTTCTTGTGCAATCTAGAAAGGAACGCGCAAGTAGGCGACACAAAAGTCACTATCATCATCAGAAACCCCAGAAGGGCCAACATCTGAATGGGTGGCTCTTTGATTTTTTAGCTGCAACAACAACAAAAAAAAACGAAAAATACAGCTAACCACTAGCAAAAATAACTCACAGAACGAGACAAACGCATTACAAAAAGATTTAATGAATAAACACAATACCAATTATATATGTAATGCACACACCATTACACATTCTCCGACACTCCATTTTGCTGACAATTCATTTGTTATCATTATTGGTCCAGCATACTAAACCTGTTGCTGGAAAACAAGCACCTCAGAAGGGACACATGGGGCACATTAGGCGGATATGCAAAAAACTTTGTCAGTCGGGTAACACTGATAGTTGCATTTGGGTAAGGTGTGCTACATTTCTTAAAATGCATTTTTTTAATACAGATTTTTGGATGAACTTTTTAGAGTTTCTGAGCATAAAATAGTTTCAACACCCCCTGGTGTAACAGTAAATTCTTCTCTAAATGGTAGGTTGAGGGCATATACTGGTTTTGTCTTTTGGTATTAAAAATGAATGCTTTAGCTCCCAATAACAATGATGAATATTTTACTAGTTCCCAAAAAAAGAGGAAGCATTCCAAATTTCTCATTACTTTGTGTGCAGTTCAATCATCTTTCCACATGTGCATCCTCTTACAGTGTTCCTGCTCTATTTTAATGACTCTGTTACGTGATCTACATGAAGCTATATCTCTCTTACCAAACTATAAACAGATTCTCATATAACTATATGATACACAAATAGCAAAACGGATCTAAAAAAATTGAAACACCTAAATCAAAACGCACCCACAAACCCATAAACTACACACAATTTCACAAAAAAAATGGTGTTAAAAAAACCCTAGATCAAGAAATTAAACTCAAATTGGGCATCCCATCCACCGCCAATCACACACAGAGAACAAAAATGGCTTAGCAAATACATGCCAACAACGAGAAAACGACAACCATACAACCTAACACCCCCGACCCCATACCCACACTCCAAGAACCAACAAAACCCCCCACGTTGAACGCACAAAACGCAGAAAAAACAAAACCCAAAAAAAAAAAAAAAAAAAAACGGATTAAACACAGAGAACTAACCTTGATCCCCTCCTCTTCAGTGTGCTGCGGTCAACCATCGCTATGTGGAATTGAAGAACGAAGGAACAAAGGAGTCAAGCCTACACGATTCGCGGAGCACGTCGCCACCCTCCCTACGCACAAAGAGAAAACAAACGAGAGAATAGGAAAACCCCGGTAGTGCGCGTGAAATTGAACACTAGTCTGACTAGGTTTCAAGACTAGTAAAATACCAGATCTACCCCGCTTAACATAAAAACACCTTAAAATAACACTACACTACACGCTGGAATCCCAGCCATCGAAATGCAAAATCCAATAGCCCAGATTAGTCCACATGTTTGTATTTTAAGATGTGTTTTTACCTGAATGTAATTCTATATATATATATATATTATTTTTTTTAATCAGTTTTATTTTTTTTCTTTGTTTTTTTTTCCTCCAACCCACATACTCTTTTCTAATCATACTTAAAAAAATTCGTCAAAAATCATAAATTATCCTCACTATTATGATGCTCTAAGGATGCTCTTAGTCTACTAGCGTATAGCTCTAGCGATTGCTATTTCAATTAAAATAAAAAATCACAACAGAAATGCGACCTTTTGGTCATCCAAATCTGACTTTCAGTCTTCAACTAATCCTTTCCTCCTCTTTGGCTCTTTCCCAAGACCAACAATATTTGCTTATATAATCTCAAAAATCTCTCAGCTCCTCCATATCTGGCTGGGCACCACGCAGCGCAATCTTCCATTCTTGCAAGCCAGCGCCACCGTCACTGTCAATTGTTGTAGACTAGTGCCGCCATCCACCTAATCGCCGCCGTCTGGGTAATCTTCTACCTATCTTCCCAACTCCCGTTATTAATTTGTTGTATATCATGACGGAGCATCGTATGCGTACATGCATGCCTGGTGTTCGACAAATTGTTTGATGGAACATATACTCCATTTGCATAGTCTCTTCCAAGCTCGTTGTGTGTATACTTTTCTTTCTTGATCATACATGGGTCACAGCTCCTTGAGTGTGATGGGTTGGGGATGGTTGGTTAAGTGATGGGCTGAATAAATTGCTCCACTGGCTGGTCCTGGCCTGTAAGTGGCAAGGGAATTTGTGTTTGAGGCCACAACTCACAAGATTGTGTGCTAGTAATATTTATGTTACTCATGTTTATAGTTTATTTAAGACATTGGCTAATAAGTGCTTGCAAAAGTTGTGGTGAAGTGAAGTAGTACTAAGAACATGTGCAAATGAGATGTTCCAAGTTGGCAATGCATTTGCTTTCAGATCAAGTTTGGTGTCCTGCATACAAAGCCTCAGTTGTTGAAACTAAGAAGCAGATCTATGGGCTTTGTTCTGAGAATCCATAACTAAAATTGTAATGTGAATGAGTTTAATGCTTATTGTGTTTGGACCTTCTATTAGCTTGAATGATGCAATCACACATATTAGGAAAGTGGAAACTGAATTAAATATATCTGATCTATTTAGAGGCTAGATGTACATAAATTAGAGACAGATATATATATCATGAAGGAAAATTGGGAAACTAATGAGATTCCTAAGAAAGTAACATGCATCCAAACAGAGTGAAGTTATTTTCTCAGGATTTTAATTAGCATTTTCCATCATGTACCAAACACATCAAATTCACTTTAACAGCCCCCTAAGGTTATGTATTTGTGTGTGTGCTTTTTTTTGTTTGCTGCACTGGAGTACTGGTTTACTCTGTACAATATAGTTCCTTATTGTGGATTGTGGGTATGCCTTCACTATTGGATTTGATTATTACACGTTCTTTTTTCAGGATCAGTCACAATAATTGTGAATAAATTAATGTTCTATTCTGTTTAACTGATCGTCTGCATTATCAATAGCTGATCAAGACACCTTGAGAAATGCCTTCTTAGAAAAGGGCATTTACAATTGATGTTTTTTACATGATTTTGTCCACTCCATTAATATTGTATTCTTTTTATGTTTTTCTTTTTGTATTTTTAATGTAAATAGTTCTACAGTTCTCACCCATAGCAACATTTCACCCATGGAGATGCTGCCATGTTTGTCTTTTTTTTTTTTTTTTTTTTTTGTCTAGGTAAATTTTTTGGCCCTCTCATCATTATTCCTTTATTTAATGTGGGACACACTTTTCCCCCCACGTCCATTTTGAGATCATAATCTACTTCATGTATGGTGCTACTCAGAGTCTAAAACAATAAAACTTCATAAAAAATGGTCACCTCTGACTTCAATAACCCATGTTTTCCCCTGCACTCATTCAGAGAAAAAAGTATGCTTTTTTGAACTCTCGGCTAACATATTGTGATCAATGCTTATAACTAGTTAGATTAGAGTAGGATGTTAAGCCTATAGCAATTGGCAACAGTTGTTACTCTGTAATTCCTTCATTTTATTTTTTTTTGCAATTTGTTCTCCTTTGGCTTAGGTATGTGCTCAGTGATCTGGACATTTCTTCTTGGTTATGTATGCTTATTTCCACGTGTGAAGCCTTTTCTTGATTCAACAATTATTTATGAGATTGTAATTGATACACAAACTGTCCATAGCTTTTGTTTGTTTTATAATCTTTTTAGCATACATTTTTTAAATTATGGCATGATTTCTCGTTGCCTTTGTGTAGCTATTCTTTCCTTCTGCAACCTGTACTCCATAGTTTGTACAATACTTTTATACCTATTTGGCATCAAGGTTTCTAATTGCTTATGATTGTAAATTGGAAGGAATCAAAAGTAAAAGGATGTGGGCAAGATGATAATCTTTGATTGCTCAAATCTTCAATGTCATTTTTCTATCATCAATTTTATTTTCTTTATTTTATGCTACATATGTAAATGTGCTTAAATTGTTCTTCTGTTGTATTTCTAGTCTATTCGGGGTTGATATTGTACTATTTAGGTTGATCATTTGACTTCACATTGAGTAGAGTTTTGTATTTCATAAAATTTCTTGTTTTATACATTCTATTAAACTAAGGTTTTGTTTTATTTATTATTCAATAAATTTCACTAGTGAGAATTTGATGGCTGCTGCAAACCATATTGAAGAATTATATGTAGCATCAGATCCCAAAATCAAGGAATTCTTTGACTCAGCTCCTCCACTTCAGGATGCTGCTGATATCAAGGCCAAGTTGAATGAATTTATTCAAAGGAATTTTTCAACTTCAGGCAAGCCTACTTTTTCTCACTTTTGATAGCCTGGCTGATGCACGGACACCATTTTCACTTGCATTTTGATCTCTGTTTTAGGAGATGGAAAAGCAAATAGGATAGTGTGTGTTACTTCTGGTGGTACTACTGTACCATTAGAGAAGCGGTGCGTTCGATACATTGATAATTTCAGCTCAGGTCACAGAGGAGCTGCTTCTACAGAGTATAGTACATGATATTGCCATATTTATTTCACTAGAAACACTTGAGTATACAGTTCTATATTGACATTTACATGTAAAATGAAACTGCAGATACTTTTTGAAGTCTGGTTATTCTGTCATATTTCTCTACCGGAGGTGTGAATGTTACTGCTATAATTCATATCTCTTGATTCATTTAGTTATATTTTTGACTGTAAAATATCATATTGATCTGCGTTAGCACACTAAATACTATTTGAACTCTATGCAGGGGTACCTGCCAACCATTTTGTAGAGATCTTCCAGAAAATGCATTGCTTGAATGCTTAACATATAACAACGGGTCAAACCTTCAAGGTTTGTAATTCTAGAAATTTTATTTCAAGATTTAAATCTACATTGGTACATATACTTCAACTGACTTTCACACTTTTTACAGCATTTGAAGGACTCCGATAGTATGATACAGTCCGTACAGACCTTAACTTACTGCATAACATATCTCTGCCACTATTTTTAAAAAGAAAAGCTGAGAAGTGTTTTAGATGGATGAGTAAATTGTACACTTGTACATTCAACAGATGTTTTTCTTGATATGAATAATCCTTCTTTCATTGCGTTTCTTTTTGAAAGTCTTTCATTGCATTTATTTATACAAAGATGTAGTTTTTCTAGTAGATTTTCATTTTCCCCATATTTACTTGTCAAAGTATTGGGAAGGTAGCTTTGATCTAAATGTGGTTGACCACTTGACCATGTATCTTAATAGTACTTTTATTGTAAAGTATTAAATTATTTTTCCCAGAAGACAAAACTGACTCTTGTTCTATGTTTCAGTGGATCAGAAATCTGCTGATGTGGTGAAAAGAGCAATTACTGAACATCAGGCTGTAAGAATAATCTTTAATTGCTCTTACTGTTACATATTATGTAGTATCATGTTTCAATACATACAAATTGATTGTTGCAGGCAGTGGCTGGTGGCTCTCTTCTGAAACTCCCATTCACAACAATTTTTGAGTATCTACAGGTTGGAATAGAATAGCAGAGAGTGAATCTTAATTTAACAGAAGACTTCCAAGAACTTTCTTTCTGTAATTATTTAAGAATATTAATTTTCATAATCTCATATAGCATGGCTTCTGTGATATTTCAGTACACACATAAGATTATTAAATTCTATTTGTATCATGGGCAGATGTTGCAGCTGGTTGCTTTATTGCTCAGAAGAGTTGGTCCAAGTGCTATGTTTTATCTTGCTGCTGCAGTTTCTGACTTTTACGTTCCCTGGGAAAGCATGGTACTGACTTGTTATCTTGAAATGATCTCTATTTCTCAATTGATTGCTTTATTCATCATTGGAAGTGTAGAATAAGTTGTGCGTGTCTATCTAAATTGGGCTTAACTCAGCTATACTATGTAGTGCAAGGATCGGGTGTTATGAGGGTAGTAAAATATGGCAAAGTAAACCCACTTTTTTGTGGATACAAAGTGTCAAAATGGGAATTTTACTCCTCTTTAGAAGTTACTTGATTACAATGTTTCACAGATTACATATTTACATCAACTCTGTATCATGCCTGAAGGAGAAGAGAGTATGGGTGGGGGATTCTTACTCTTCAAAATAAGTGAATCAGCTCATTTCAGTAGAATAACTCTAGAAAAGGCATAACTCATTTGAATTATCAATGGGGCTAGATGAATTGCATAAGCTGCATTACGCATTCATTCTCTCCTTTACTCATCACCCAAATGTTGACGTAGATATAACCTGCATAAAGGCTCTCCTGTTAAATTA